CTTTACTAGGTCATCACACCCTTTATATAATAATATCTTTAAGATTACATTTATCTAAAATATTTAATATATATTATTACTTTTAAAACTACTTTATTCTTGACAAAAAATTTACTAAAAACTTTTGTATTCTTTATATATTTGATTTAATTTTATATATTATACTATAATTAAATTAATATTTGTAATTATAAGTATTATTTATTAAACTGTTACATTATACTATTTTTATTTTTATAAAGTTCACTAAAACCTTAATATTTTTTTTTATAATATATTATTTTACTTAATCTTTCTTTACTTAGAACTAACAGAACTTCTCAAACTGCCAATTCAATAGTTTAGTATATATATTTTTGTATTCTTTTTCTTTAATAAATCTAATAACCTGATTAATGCATATATTTTTTTTATATACTTGTTATTTAGTTTATTTGCTTATCTTTTTAAAAAGTTTTTTTTTAGTATTAAAATAACCTTTTTGGTCTTTTAATTTTTTATTAATAACTTTTATAATAATGTGATTTAATAAATTACTATAAAAAAGTATACAATTAATTATATATATAAGTTTTCTATATTACTTATTTAAGAAGTTCACTTAAAAGTTCTCTACTAATTGTTATATCTAATATCTTTGCTTTGGTGTTCTACTTTAAACTTTCTAAACTTGTAATTTGTATTAATATCACTAAGTTATACTTAGATGTTTAGATTATTATCTTAACCTTAGAACTATTTTATCTTTAAGATAAACCTTCTAAAGTCTTTTGTATCTATTTTTATAACTAATCTGATATTACTATAGCAGAACTAACACTTATAGTCAGAGTTATCTTATTTAACTACTATTGCTTTGTAGAGTTCACTTAAATCCTAGCATTTACTTCATAGCATAATCTTAGTACTTTAGTATACTCAAGTCTTTTAACTAGACTCCAAATTTAAATAACTTATATAGAACTACAATCAGTCTATTGGTATATCAGCTCTATATTCTTTTTTTTTAGTTCATTTTAGTAGCCTGGTTGGTAATACTTCTAAGACTCTCAACTCAGAAATTCTTGCCTATTCAAATACTATAATCTTGATATTTGTTTTCTTAAGCTAACCTTTACAATAAAACTATTAAAGATCTAGCTATCTTTTTATTTAGATATTCTTAAATAAACTTTTTGTTACCTAATTTTAATAAATTTATATAGTTACAAAGACTTATTTAGTATTTGTACTATCTGATTGTTGGTTTGAATTTTTCTGTATAATGCTATACTTATATAAATGCCTCATAACCTGCCAATCATACTAGTGTAACTGCTATTACAGATATCCTAATTCAATTATTAATAATAGTTGCTATAATACAAATATTATATAGGTAATTATTCAAATTTTTGCTATTAATAGGATTTGAAGACTCAATCTACTACTTGGAAGATTGACAACATAATTACTTTACTAGGTTATCATACTTTTAAAAAGTCTTTTAAAGCTTTTATTAATTTAATCATATTATTAAAAATTCATATTATTTTTTTATTTAGAAAATTTTAAATAGGTTTTTAACTTTAATTTTTTAGCTTATTATAACTAATAATATTATCATTTATTTGTACTGAACACTTATTTAATACTAGTTTTAATATTTTTTATGTATATATAATATTATATTTTATATAAATGTTTTAAGCTTTTATTTAAAATAATGTAACTTAAGATTATAGATATACCAATCTAACTAATTGTTAAAAGATAATTATTATAACATAAATATAATTTTTAAATATTGTTATAAATAGAATTTGAATACAAACAATACTTAAAATTAGCAACTTATTAACTATTCAAATTATTAATTATTTTAATTTTAATAATAACAAAATTATTAAATTTAGATTAATAATTCTTAAAATAACTAATATTTATTAAATTAGAATATAACTATTTAGTAAAATAAATAAATTATTATTCTTTCAAATACCAAGTTAAAACTTAAAACTTATAGATAATAAAAATTTAAATAATTATCTATATTATAATAATTATTTTTTGACAATTAGTTAGAATAAGATATCTATAACTATAATCATGTAAATATAATTAACAAATTATATAATATTTGTATAATTTTAATTATATAAAGAAATGCAAACTAGTACTAGATAATACAAACCTAAAATAAGTTTTAGTAATTATATAAATCTATAAACTAAGAAAACAAAAACTTATTTAAAAAAATTCAAATAAAAAGATAATATAAACTTTTAACAATACAACTGTAAAGATTAAATCTAAAAAACAAATGCTAATATAAAAGAATTAAATAAACAAAAATCTTTAAATAAGAGTATTACCAACTAGAATGCTAGTTTTAAACTAAAGAAAAAAAAAATAAATTAAACTTAATATATTAAAAACATATCATAGTTCTTTTAAGTTATTTAAATTGAAAATCTGAAAACAAAACAGATATACTAAAGTATTAAAAATATATTGTAAAGTTAGTACTGAGGTTTGAATAAACTTTGCAATAATATAACCTTGTTAATAAAACTGTAAAGTAGATAAGTTAGTTAATAAAAAAACCTTCTTGAGTTTACTATTAGATAATATGTTTTGAAATGAATAACAATCTGTATACAAGTTTATAAAAGAAAAATATGTACTTAGATAGTATATATAAATATACAGTATATAAGAGGTTAATAGCAAGTTAAAATTTAGTAAAAGCAGATAATCAAATAACTTAAATGAATAATCTTTTAGTAAATTATAAATACAACATTTAATATAAAACCTTAAAATGAACTACTTAAATAAGCAACCAAAAGTTGCATATGTAACTAGTTGTACTCTTCTGTTTATAAAAAACAGTTATATTAACTAATCCAAATTACTAATAAATTATCACCACAAAGTACAACCTTTAACAATTAAAAAAAAAAAATAAATATTTGTTAAATTTAAATATTAATAATTCAATAATTTATACCTTTTTAATACTTTTACTATTATTAAAATCAGAAAAATCTAAAAAACAAGTTTGCTTAAAATTACTAAAAAGGTTTATTTAATATCAATATTTGTTTTAAAGCAAAAATAAAGACTATAAATATCAATTCTCTAAAGTTAAAATAAAAAAAATTTTATTGATTTCAGGTAGATAGTTATCAAAATATCCTTGCTCAAAGTTAGAAAATCTAACCATGATTTTTCTTTAATAATTGTCTAAAATTTTTTTACTGAACTTTTTATAATTTTAGAAGATTCAACAAGTAATTAGATAGTTATTAGAGAAATTACCAAGTTGAAATATATATTGACGAATTGGTTTAATTACTACAGAATATAATTTCACCGTCTTTTCTTTCCTTTAGCCTTTCCTCGTATGGATTCATTAGGATTTCTACGCCCATAACCGATCATCGGAGCTCCATGAGAAGTGGAAAATTCTGATCCTATGAAAAGTTTAGGAACATAATCAGGATCAAATATATCCACTTCTTTTTGCTTACGATGACTCTTCAAGGCATTTTGGTACTCTTTTTGGTCTTCTCGAAGAATAAGGTTGTTGGCGTGATGACCACCTTTTGGATTTGGTATTGAATACTAATATTTATATGAAGGAAATTTAGAATCAATGAAAAATGACAAATTCAGTTATATTTGCACAACGTTTAGTTACCTTAGTTCCGCGCAGATTATATTGAAAATTCTTCTTTAAATAATATGTTACTTTGCCGTTTATATCTGTACTGGCTGAAGTGCGAATTAAAGTAGCATTCCCACAAGAAGGGCAAAATTGTTTTTCCATGTTGGTAGTTGTTCTATATTATTTCACCAAAAGTGTCATTACTTTTTTTAAAAATATATTTAAACAAATGATAAATATTGATATTCTTTATATACTTGAAGCACGCGTGACACCGAAGGATCCAACTTTTTACTTTTTTGATTCTAGCTCCTTTAACAGAGACCAAATTCAACCCCATTTGTAACAAAACATTCTTAAAAAAAAGTTAGAACCGCAAAATCTAAGTTCAAAAAAAGTAAATCAAATTTATTGAATTTATTTAAGTTGTTATCACATACTTGCATGGAATAATCTGTTGTAATGCATGCAACTTTAATATTCTCATCTTTCTTTGTTTTCATCTCTAAATTTTGTTCTTTTTCCTGATATTTCATTATATTGTCGGGCGTTATCCATCCTTCTTCGTCATCATCATCCTCATACTGAAAGACGGGTGTGTCATTTTCAACCTTTTCATTTTCAACCTTATCATTTTCAGACTTTTCATTTTCAGATTTTTCATTTTCAGACTTTTCATTTTCAACCTTTTCATTTTCAGACTTTTCATTTTCAGACTTTTCATTTTCAATCTTTTCATTTTCAACCTTTTCATTTTCAGCCCTTTTCAAATTTTTATGATTATCACCAAATTGTGTGTCATTTTCAGCTTTTTTCAAATTTTTATCATTGTCACCAAACTTTGTACCATTTTTAGCTTGTTTCAAGTTTTTATGATTGCCACTAAATTGTATGATTGACTAAATAATTTAATATGTATTTTTAGTAATTATTAGCAATAAATGATCTTTGCAATAAATTAATAAAATATTTTATTACTCTAACAGGTTCTTTACGCAATCGTTCCGTGCCATTTACTTGAACCTCAAGCATGTAAGTTAATGCCAAAACTCTCAAATCAATAGCAGATAAACTTGTATAATCTCCAGTTTTTTTCGAAAAATTTACAACTAAAATAATAATAATTTAGATTAAAAAAAATTGGGGTAAAAAAAAAAAAAAAAAAAATAGAAATATTAATTAAACCTTCTTTCAAAGCTTCACCATCAGGACGTATAGTTTCAATATCAAAAGAAATTTGTGTTAAAAAATCGCGGGAATGTTTATCACGAATTTCTAAAATTATTTCTGGTATAGTATAAACTTTTTCGGCTAAATGACGAACGTCAACACCTTTAATTAAAGGTCCTGAATCAACAACCAAGAATTTAAATTTTGGTTGTCCACTAATATCGTTCGTCGATATTTGATTTGGATCAAGCATTTCTTTTTTTTTTTTAACGAAGTTAAAACGTTTGTCTTGAAAATTCAGTTGGTCATGAAATTTAAAAAAAAATTTGATTGAAGATCTCAATCACGTGATATTTAATCTTAACTGGGTCTTGTATTACAGTATTACTATTTACGATCATCTTCGTGCAAATTGCATCATACGTATGAACTCTATCTCACGAGATATAAATGTTTAATTTAAGAAACATTAGCGGTTAAAACCTATAATCCGCTGAATTCAAAGTTGAGGTCTCGTGCTAAGTCATATGATTATCTCGTACAAGGTAAATCTCCATATAGGTAGAATTAGGGATGTATCTAGTGCGAGATAAACCTGGTTAGCATAGATCTCATATATCTTCGTATTGCATAATTTCGCGCGAATCATTTAATTAGAAACAACCGCGGAAAATGGTTCAAATTACTGTGATTGTGATTGACCATTGGAACAATGATTTCGATATAATGCGCCGAAATACAATACAATATTTTCAAATTGCTAAACTTTATAGGAAAATTTTAAAACGACCAATCAGTAACTTTAAAAGCTGACTGATAACTTGTAGAGTTAGTTCAGTGTAAAAGTTATAAATTGTTTTTTTTTAAAAAAAAATCTTTTCTGTAAAAAATTCAGTGATTTGAAAGCTACTATATTTCCGGCGTGGTATACCGAAATACATTAATTTTATTGGCCAACCAAGATCACGAAACCTTTCCCGTGATTGATAATTATAGCATATAAATTCCTGGTACGTACGTATGTACCATATCGATATTAAATTTCTAACAATTTGTCTCGCAAGTCACGAATGCGATAGTTTCGTCATTTCTCGTGAGGAAGCCTTGAATATACATCTATAAATTGTAATAATGAACGATTCTCGTATAATGAAATGTTTATACGATACATCGAAAATCCTAGAATCACAAATCTACAGAATTTCGCCACCCGATCAAATCCATTTCAAGATCAGGTGTAATATGAAACAAATGCTAATTTTTTTAATAACAATAATTAAATCTAAATATTACATAAACTAAAGCTAAATAGCATTAATTTTAAATAACAATATTCTACGTTATTTATATACTGTATATATTTTTTTTACATATTAGGTACTTTTGTACCATAAAGTTTATAAATTTATATTACATAATTTTGTTCAAAGTTTTTTTTTTTTTGAACATATGGAATCTTTGCTAGCAAAATGACCCTACGAGCCATTGTTACACGTGATTTTTATTAAGAAAATCATCATAAATCTATTTTTAGAAAAGAAAATACTAGCAAAGATCCCATATTGTTTTACTTATGACCAGATACCTTTCTGTAATTTTGTATTGAAAACTCATTCATTGAAGCATGAAAAGCTAACACTGAGCTTCGTATGTTTGCCAAGTCATAAGTAATACCAATAAATATTAAAGATAAAATAATAATACTCAGTCCTAGACGTTTAAAAAAGACAACCTAATAATATAACAAGACAAAATAAAATCAGAACGAATTCATAATAAAGGTAAACCTATAATTTTTAGAGTCTTAAGCTTACCTCCGCAACTAAATGATGTAAATCTGATGTAACATTCTTTAATTCTTCGTCATGACGACTTTGCGTAACCTTAATTTGAGTAATAGATTCTATTACCAGTTGCTCATATCCATTTTTCTAATAAATAATTTCATAAAAAGTTAGATCACGGAAAGAACAATATAAATGTTATAGGTGCAGAAATGATTGTCATAGCTTAGTCACGACTATATAGAAAGTCTATGTAAAACCGACTTTAACATAAACTGTAATTGTGTCATAATTAACGAAGTAAATGTCTCTGCACCTATAATAAATTTCATATCATAATACTAAGTACCCACCAAGCTTCCTACTGTCTCATTGATCTGGTTCCACATGGACATTATGTTTTGTGATTGTAATGTATCCATGGCTGTTAAAGTTTCTTTAAGCATATTTCTTATGTAACGATTAGATAATTCCGTGTCATGTTCAAGTTTATTAAGACGTGTCATAATAGTTTTAAAAATACTATCTTGACCATTTGAATGTCTACCACCATCTGGAGATGAAGATATGAAAATATCACCCATATCATCTTTGAAGATCTTTGGTGTTGATGATGGCTTCTGCGTAGATGTAGTTGATGAAAGTGAAGGTTGTGTAGACTTTGTTTCCAAATTCATTATTTGTATCTGCCTCTTATGTTCGATGAGACTATTTATATCTTCTGTAGATACTAGATCGGATTCGGTAACATATAATGGACACATATCAATTATACATACACCTGGAAATAATAGGGATTCGTCCGAGTAGATGTTGTTTGGTTGATAGTATTGTTCGATTAGAGGAACCGTAGTATAACATGATTTATCTTTAAACAACATATGAACATCGTTTACTGGACACAAGTCGACAGATGTTGAGGGTACAGGGTCTTTTACAACATTAGTTTTATCATTGATTCCCAGGTTGGATTGATTATCTGTTAATCCTGGAGGAGTTTTCGGCTGTCTCGGCAACTCTTTTACCGAATCCTTTTCGTTAGTCTCAGATGTAATTGGCATTAAAAGGCTAGAATTGTCATCATTTAAATTATTTCCGTCAATATCAATGTCATGAGAAGATTCAGATGATAATACAGCTTCTTGACTTTGAGATTCTTTAAGTTGGTTTTCAATCTCTTCTTGTTCTCTTTTCCACTTTTCATATTCGTTTGAGCCATGAACTCGAAGCAAACTTACTGGACAGTAATATTGGTGTCCATAATGGGTCAGAAAGTCTATACGAAGATACTTTGCAAACATTAATGGATCTTTAACCTCAAATATCTATAATCAAATATATAAAATGAATAAGAAAAATAAGCACAATTTACAATACAATAATATATAAAACCAACAAATAAATTGTACAAACCTGTAATTCCCTTGAATTGTTTGCCTTATATTCGCCTATAACTTTCCAACCTTCCTTAGCAGGATACCATTTGCTAATAGATATTTTAAAATCCTTGAATGTCGAAGAAAAAAATTCGAAATTTGCCATTGCTAAAGAATCTATTAAAATATCTTCACATAATTGCAGTATTATGAATTTCGTGGCAGCACATTTATTTAAGACATAAGAATCTTTACTTTCATATAAAAGTGAAATGGCGCCTTTTGCTTCTGGGTTGGATTTTAAAACTAAAGCACCACAATCGAATGAAGCAAAATTAAATTTTTCTTTTAACTTGGAAGCAGGATTCTCATATTGTGAAATCAAACCGCCAGAATCAGAATTATCGAACAATGAGTCAGAATTATCAAAGTCTATATAATCTTCTCCGTCAATTGAATTCATTACTGCGGGATCGTTTTGAGAATTACCAACGCGTTTTTTTGATCTTATTTTTGAATCAGCCGCCAGGATCAGTAACATTACGAATACGAAGGACATGACCGTAATCATGAACTTATTCATAATGACTGTAATAGTATTAGTAACAATTCACTCAGTTGTAGTGAAGCCAGTAGTGGAGTTGGTGCTTGTTCGAGTTGCACGGATTCGATAAAAAGTCACAAAGGAGAAAAAAGAAGTACCATCTTTGATAAGAAAAAAAAGTCTTCATAATTAAGAACGTGTACGTCATAATTATCAGTCCGATTTCCGATTTGTCACGCATATCACGGGTGTAAATTTTTCTATTAATAAACTTCCATTTTGATTGGTTTCTAATTGGATGAGATACTGATTGAATAATATTACTTAATTAGCACAATTATTCCCTGACTTTGATTTCCCCGACAATTATATTCCGATCCCCGATAACAACTTCTTTGACATTCATATAACATTATTTCTATGTATTTTATTACCCTCATTTCTCTGATAGTTCTTTTTATGAATTATCCCATATAGTTTCTTCATATAGTTTTTAATTTCTTATTTTCATTTTATTAATGCGACATTTAAATGAATTTAATTAACATGAATCAAATAATATTAGATACAGTAGCAAATATTTCTAAAATTAAATAATATACCCTCTATAATAACGAGAATAAAAATAATTTATGTTGTGGCTGATGCTAAAATTTGAACCTCCTGCTTTTTTTTAACTTAATATTTATGATAATTAAAGATATATGCGGATTTTAGCAGTGCTTATATTTTCAAATAACGACCTCAAATTTCAGCATCAGCCGCGACAATTTATACAGTATATTTATCGCTATACACACATTAAATTTATCATGAATTAGATAATCAATAAACGAACCTGAATAAAATTAATTAAATGGTTTGGTTTAATCTATATTTTTATGTCGTGCGTACGCACCTGAAGCTGACACCCTGCCTGGCCTGAAGTTCAACTTCAGGTACATACCTAGACTGAAATTAACCTTTGAAATTAGATGCAACTTTAAGACACATTATACGTGCCAGAAATCTTAACCGGATTACTCGTGTTGTTACCCGGTCTGGATCTTGTAATACGGGTCAGCAACCCGAAGAAATTTTATGTATATGTATGTAAGGCAATCATGAAAATTTCACTATGTAGGCTACATAACTACATCGATATGAAATACTCATTATCTATAAAGGATCTTTGAATATTGATGGGCAACTTGAGAGATAACAATCTGTGGGTTTCTCACATAATATGCTGGATACGTATAAAATAGTATAAAATGTTCAATTGATTATGAAGTTAGGTCTTCACCTATGCCTAAGGATGGACACCATAGGTAGGGACTACGTATGTAGCAAATTACTACGGTGGCCTAAGCCGGTTACACAAAACATAACAAACTTATACGTACGTACAAATGTAATCATTATCAATATATATATATATTTATTTATGTGTGGCATACGTATTAATTCGCTAATGAAATTTAATACGTACTTATACCCGTAAGGTATGATACCGGGTATAATGCCCTATAAAAACTTGTGTGGTTATATGTAAAACTAGATGCTGGACTTTTGATTTTTTTTCTTATACCGGTATCATACCCACTGGGTACTAATTTGCGTATGTAATAATAATACGTATCGTTAAATTTGAAATTTGCTTATTTACAAAATTTATGTTATGTTGTTCGTGTAACCGTTTTATACTTTCGGAGGCCAACTGTACGTACGCCTACATAACGATAACGGTAGAGTTCTAAATTGGCCAGCATAATATGAATCGGAAACTATTCTACTTCATGTGATTTCAACATTCTTTTCTATCTTTAGTTAATGTAAATCAAAACTTATATATATTATACATATATAAAATTTATTATTGCTTTTTTAAGGGGTCGGCTAAATTCAATATATGATCTACACACTGCATAAATTACATTCTTGATATTCTATATAACCCACTAACAATAACTGCATCAAAAAGGTAACTCTAGCAGACAACCTTTTAATAACTTACGTACTACATACTTGTAATACTGATACGTAATCGGAATAGTTCATACGTACCAATTACCGTTATTAAACCGTTTTTAGATTAGTGAAGAAGACTTTTATTATTTATTAACCGTTTTAGTACGTATAAAGCACTTAAACATATTTGATATGTTTAAAGTAATATTTGTCGCAGGAGTGGCTTTTCACGTGCCCCAGAATTTCCCTGCTCATGAGTCCAATGATCCCGATGCTTGATGTTTGGCAGCTACTATGTACAACAGAATAACTCGAGCTATTTTGATGGTTGTATCATAATCAAATAACTTCGTTATTGATGATGACGCAACCATCATCAAAATAACTCGAGTCATTCTGTTGGTTCGGTCGTAACTACCGTTATTGGATGATGCTACGCAGCCAATAATTTGTAGTCATATTAAATTTCACAGCAAGATAATGGACAAATAACTATTTTATTTATCGCATAAAAGTTGTATATGATGTCATTTTCAGCCAGTTTTTTCTATAAAAGACTAGTATTACTTATAGATGTGCATCTCGCGCGAAATGTTGATATCATTCTATTGATTCTTTACTATGATATCAGCATTTTGCGCGGAATGCACATCTCTAATCTTAACAAAAGGAACCGTAGCACTAGACCAGTTGTTGAAAGATTAAAAGATAACGACAAATCGCTGATGTAGAGTTTGTAAGCGGTTTTATCTTTCATATGTTAAAGCTAATTTCAATCGGTTTTAATATATGAAAACTAAACCCGGTTCCAAACTCTAATGCCGATATAATGTTAAAATTAGGGATCTGGAATTATATATTGGTATGTTTTTAGTTTTTCTAGAGATGTTATTGGCTTTACTTAAAGCTAGCTTTAGTTACAATTTGAAGTTAAGCTAAAATCAAGCCATGCTAATAGCCTAAAGCTATAGCTTAAGCCAAAATTTCAAAATTACTTGTTATAAACAATAGTTTTGGTTTTAGTTTTAATTATAATCAATGTTTAAAACTATGATTTAGTTATAGCTTGGTTATAACTTTATTGAATTAAGCTAAGTTATTCAAATTAATAAAATTTTTAAGTTTTTAAATATACAAAAAAAAAACATTATTTTTTATTAATTATTAAGATTAATATAAGAATTGTTTAAATTAAAGTAACCATGTAGTTTTTATTTAAAATTTTATACAATTAACCTTTTATATATATATATAGTTAAATAAAAGGTTCATCAACTTAGTTACTGATTAAACTGAATATAAAGTTACATTATGCAAAGCTAACTAAATTGATAGTATAAGAGGACTTGTAAGAATAGACAAGATATATACTGGTGAAGTTGTAAAGAAAAATACTAAGGTTGTATAAACTCTATAAGAATATAACAGTTTAAAGGTTAGCCTAATTGCAAATATTGGTTTTAGTTATAATAAAATACTAAATTAGTTGAAAATTAAATAACAGAAGTCTTTAATAGGTTTAGTATAAGGTTAAAAATTTCTTATATAAGAAACTATTTTAAAAACTTAATAATTATAATATATATATTTGTATTAATAAAAATTAAAGCAGTTAATAGAATAGATAGATGAGTAAATACATGAATTAGAATATTTAAATAAAGGGTTTACAAGTGAATTTTAAATAAGATAGTTAGTATAGAACTTTTAATCAAATTATTTAAATTAAATATAATAACTAAAGTTGTATTAGTAACTAGTTATATACTCTTTTATAATTATTTTTATAGTTGTTATACAAATAGTTACAAGCTAAATATTATTAATAAACTTCTAAATTATATATATTTATCTTAATAATAAAAAAAATAAAATAAATTAATATTATATAGTTATATTTTTAATAATATATATATATATTTTTAAACAGTTATGCTAGTATTTTATTAAGATTTTTAAAATTACTTTTACAATTATATAAATATATTTAACAACTAAGCTTAGCATCATCTAGTCATCTTATTAACATCTAAGTATAATTTGCTATATTACTTCAAACAGAAATAAACTGCTTGTCTAACTACTTTAAGTTTATAATAATAAAAAAAATTTTTTTTGTAACAAGCTTTTAAATTGTTTTTCTAACTTAAGTTGTATTAATCTGTCTTAAATAATTTTTGAAATTAGATTTTTGATTAGTATTTTTTTCATTTTTATTTCTTTTATCTCTGTTTTTTTAAAGAGCATTATATATAATATATAAGATAAAACGAACTTTTTCTTCTTCTTTTAATTCTTTTTATACTATTGCAATGAATATTTTCTATATTATTTTTTAAAAACTTACTTGTCTCTTATATGATATCAAATGTTTTTGCATTTTTTTAACTTTGTTTTGATAAACTTGGTATTTTATAATTGTATATATATTTGATCTTTTTTTGTTAAGTTTTTTCAATATTAGAAATTTGTCTAATATATATTTTATAAAAGCACTTCTTTTTATATTGTTTTTTTTTGTTATATAATATACTCCTTTAAATGATTTCAGCCTTTTTCAAAAGTATGTTCAATTATATATTATTTCTATTATTAGTTCTAAATTCTTAATCACTGTTGTTTTTTTTTACTCTACTTCTAGTTTGGTATTTGTAATTATTTTATATAAAAGTCTTGCTAATATGTCTATTTGCTTATTTTTCTATTCAAAACAGTACTCTATTTTTTTACAACTAACTTCTTCTAAATATATTATTTTTTTATTTAATGTTTTTTTTTATAAAACTATTAGCTTATTATTCTATTTATCTTTATTGTAATTTTTTATTTTAAACCACTTTATTAATATGTTTTTTGTTTTAATTAGGTCAATTATTTTTATTATCTATAAAGTATTTTTTTTCTTAAGAATTTTATTTCTATCTATACACTTTAAATCTTTATTAATATTTCTGATTGCTATATTTTATTTGTAAATATTTCTAGTTTTTTTTTTTAGTATTATAAAAATTGCTATCCATATTGCTAATATTCAGCTGTAATAGATGTTGATCATTCTTTTACCT